TCTGGTGACTTCTAGTCTTGCATACTGATCAGATGATCATCTTTCCTCCCAGAGGGATTTTTGGCTAAGAACCCCAATGTAAAACCCTTACATAGCACCTTCTAACTGAAGATCTCAAAGTACTTTACAAAGATAGATGCATTTTATTAGTCCCATTTTACAGACAAGGAAAGTGAGGCACAGATAAATGAAGTGACTTGTCCAATCTAAGTAACACAGCTGAACAGCGAACCCAGGCATCCGACCTCCCAGACCCTGGTAATCACCATTAGACATTCTAGGACGCATTCAGGCTTGTTGTAATGTGAGCATGTGCAACGCTCTTCAGGTCAGTGGAGTTGCATCACCTGAGTTTGGTGCATTCTCTCAAAATACAAGATTAAAATAAGCAGAAACATGAATGTCTGGAAGTCTCAGCACATGATAAGCCTAGCCACTGTATTGTCTAAAAACAGCTATTTGACATCTTTAAAAATTTTAAGCTACATCCTGTCTGCCTTACACAAGTAACCCCACTGAAATCAATGGGACCACCCATGTTAGTAAGCACGAGTTAGCCTTTAATGGCAATCCATCCTCACCTTGTCATAGGAATCATTGTAAGCTTCAAGGAGAGGTAACATGAGGCCTCCTGGTTGTTTTGTGTTTGTACAGTGCTAGCACAATGGGGTCCTGGTCCATGTCTGGGATTCCTAGGCGCTTCGGCCCAGATACTCAAAAGTGATTTAGGTGCTTAAGTTCCATTGATTTCAATGGGAACTAGGTGCCTCAATACCTTTGGGGCTCTGGGCCCCTGGTAATAAAAATACAAATTATTATTATTAATAACAATAATAAATAATAGCTGTCAAAGTCAACCATTTAAATTTGGGGGAATTTCTTCCTTTGCCCCACTCCTTCAATCCCAGTGTCCCCAGCAATCTTAGCTCAGAAATTGAATGTGACTCAGGCCTTAAACTGACGGGTTGTCACTGGCAAAACCTAGAGGCTGGATGTGGCCGCGGTTTTATCACTGCCTGCCAGCTGCCTCCTGTGCCCCTGCCTCCTCCCCGATGATTCAGCAAATCTTCTTACAGGAGAAAAACAAGCATATAAGTGAACAAATCAAAATGTCAGATTACAAAGATGAGCGGGGGAAAATGTGGCACAAAGAGGGAGATAAAGGGCGGCAGAGTCACGTGGCCCGCGACTGGCAGGACTTACGAAGACTTTCTTTTTTATTTTGTTTTTGTCTAATAAAAAACCACATGAAAACACGCTAAGAACTTGAACTGATAATACCTTCAAATGCTGAGCTTGCTAGCAATAAAATACAATGCAGAAGTGTGGGAGGAAATGGGGCACATGGTGCTCTCAGTTGTGCTGGTGTAACTGCTGGGGACGGGTCAACGGGGTTACTCTCGATTGTCATGACTGTACGTGAGAGCAGCATTTGGTCCAATCTGTTTAATATTATAATATGATACCCATTCTATCATGCAAGCTATTTTCAAAAGTACTTTCTGTTGTTAATACTAATAAAAAATACTGGCCATGATTTTCAAAAGTCTGAGTGCCCAAGGTGAGACACCAAAAATGGGCTGGGTTTCCAGAAAGTGTTGAGCAGCTGTTCTTGGAAAATCAGCCACCTCAAGTTGGGCACCGAGCATCACTATTTACTTTACAAAAATCTTGTTCAGCAACCCATTTCACCCTCCACTAAAAGGCAGCCACCTCTGGAGTGGAATGTGGCAGCTGCTTAACAATTCAAAGCAATACTACACAACAGAAGAGAAAATGAAAAAGAAACCGCAATAGGAGTTTAGATAGAAAAAATGTAACTTCCAAAACTGGAATTTGACCAGGACATAACTGTTAAAGACCCCCTACTTTTACAGAAAATCCCATGGAATCTTAATGACCCAGTTGGATAGTGCCTTTTATAGGAAGAGATCTATATTGCCCATATTTGATGATCTAGGACAGGGATCGGCAACCTTTGGCACGCGGCCCGTCAGGGATATCCGCTGGGGGGCCGAGACTGTTTGTTTACCTGCAGCATCCGCAGGTTCAGCCAATTGCAGCTCCCACTGGCCGCGGTTCATCGTTCCAGGCCAATGGGGGCTGCGGGAAGTGGCGTGGGCCGAGGGATGTGCTGGTTTCCCAGTTCATATTTAGTATTCACAAGTCCCTCCTTTCCTGCAGCATGGGCAAGTCTCCCTGAGGTCTGCCACACTCCAAGATATAGCTATACACAAGACCGAAACACAAACACAAAATGAAGACATAGCAGGAAAGCCAGAAAGCCAGGTTTGAGCACTGGCCTGCTAAACCCAGGGTTGTGAGTTCAATCCTTGAGGGGGCCACTTGGGGATCTGGGGCAAAATCAGTACTTGGTCCTGCTAGTGAAGGCAGGGGGCTGGACTCGATGACCTTTCAAGGTCCCTTCCACTTCTAGGAGATGGGATATCTCCATTAATTCATTAATATTAATTTAAAAAAAGTTGCTCAAGAATTTGTGATGTCATGTTGTGAGTGTGTGTGTTTGTGTATCCTGGAGGATGAAAACTGTGAACGTTAATTCTGCTCTCACACCAGTTTCACACCAACATAACTCTTCTTATTTACACCAGTGTAAGCAAGAGGAAACCCAAGATCTGTGTACTGGTCATGGGGTACTGCTGATCGGAACAACTGACCTAACTTGCCATAGTCCTATCCACTCCATACCTCACCTGTACACCAGCGCATATTAGAAACCTGTTAAAGTCACACATTGCCTTAGAGCTTGGAAATGTATTATTGTGGCAAGTATTCATTCTTCAACACTATAGCCTGGGTGACTGTTAATGAGATAAGAACAGGGCTGAACATTAGTGTAACTGACTAGTGGGAATCTAAGTATCTCATACCCATGTGTACAAAAGAAAATAAGTCACCCATATGAGACTGCTGATCCAGCTCACAATATTTGAACTGGGTACTTCATGCAACAAGCTCTTCACCCCCACAGCTAGCAGAGAACTGACACATCTGTACTTGCCCTACCTCGGGTTGGAGGAGCAGAGGAAATGTGGGATAGAGAGGTGGGGAAACACCAATGCTCCTTGAGTCTCTTTTACTGGCTGTCACATCAACAGCATCTTTGGTATTCTTAGAGGGTCCTGTGGCACCTATGAGACTAACAGACTTTCTGTTAGTCTCAAAGGTGCCACAGGACCCTCTGTTGCTTTTTACAGATTCAGACTAACACGGCTACCCCTCTGATACTTGGTATTCTTAGAGGAGATACTCAGCCCTGACATAAGTGGTTGCAGCTCCCACTGACCTGAAAGGATCAGAGTCATGGTCCACCCATGTGTTTTTCCTTCAAATGGAGTGAAAGCCACCATGCTAATAGATAGGGAGAGCTGGCATAAGAGTGAAGGATGGAAAAGTGGATAGGTGGCAAATACCAAACCTAGCCACAGGGCTGCAAGTTCTTCCATGTCTCCAGGTATCTGAATCAGTGCAGATGATGAGACTCCGGGGCAACTCAAGAGTATTTTATTTTTGAAAGATGTTAATTCTTTCTGAAATATTCACTTAAAAACAGGTGTCTCTATCATGGCGAACGCTGAATTCTTATTGTGCCCAGGTAATTATTGACATATAAATCTTATTCTAAATGATCACAACACCCTGTTGGATTAACAAACCATAGTGCTGCTGTCAGCTGAATTCTGTCCCAGTGCGCCCCCTGCTGTAGGTCAGATGAATATCAGCAACAATTGTATGCAATGGTGTTGCCCTGTCGATCCCAGGATACTGGAGAGACAAGGTAGGTGAGGTAATAACTTTTATTGGAACCAACTTCTTTTGGTGAGAGAGACAAGCTTTCGAGCTTACACAGAGCTCTTCTTCAGCTCTGGGAAATCGACACAGAGCGTCACAGCTAAATACAGGGTGGCACAGATTGTTTATCATAAGTAATTAACACGTATTACTAGGGACCATTAACCTTGAACCCTACTTATGCTAAACAATCTGTTCCACCTCTTATTTAGCTGTGACATTCTGTGTACATTTCCCAGAGCTGAAGAAGAGCTCTGTGTAAGCTCGAAAGTTTGTCTCTCTCACCAACAGAAGTCGGCCCAGTAAAAGATATTACCTCACCCACCTTGCTTCTCTAATCGGCAACTATTGCAAGAACTCTTTCAATACATAATGTGTAATAGGAAATGATGATTGTTTTATTTATCAGTTGCCATGTTGCCAACTTGCACGATACTATCTTGAGTTTCACGATAATTAGTGTACTCCTTAAAGCCCCAGTTCCCAGAAACAAGGGACTATTTCAAATCTGAGCTTTCATTAAAAAAAAAAAAAAAGCCAGTTTCTAACCTTAATGGTTGCAGAGAAAAGCTTAGAAATGTGATGCTGGAATATCCTGAAAGCTCAAAACACAGAAAGTATATAAAAACAACCCCAAATTAATTATTTATTATAAATCTCATGATTTGTAAAATAATCTCATGATTTTGGGTGTCCTGATTCATGACTTTTGAACATTTGGAATCGGCTATACTACTTCCACCCTCTACCAAGGTTCTCTGGGCGTAGCACAAAACAATTAACTACAGCTGCAACAACAAAAAAGCAAACAATTAAAAAAACAACAAAATAAATTTAAGAAGTGTAAAACAATGAAACACTAGATATAAATTAAAATAGAATCGGCTTGATTCTGCTGTCATGTACATCTGTCTTATGTGTAACTCCACTCACTGCTGTGGAGTTACTTCTGATTTAAATCAGCAAAAACAGAGTAAAATCAGGCCCAATGATTCTATAAGAACATTTTTTTAAATGATAGGTTCTATCTACCTGTGTACCTTAGGCTTTCTCCATAATTTACACCAGTACACCCCCCCCCAAAAAAAAACCAACAACAACAACAAAACAACAGATATCCAGGTTCATTATCAATACTAAAAGGAAAACAAAGGAGGACAATGTGGTACAATAAATGGGGCACTGACCTGATAGCCAGAAGACACAGGTTCTGTTCTGTCCTCTACCATGGATCTGCTGTGTGACCTGGGGCAAGTTACTCCATTGCTCTGTGCCTCTTTCCCGCTCCTGGATCCTTGGAGAAGGAACTACACGGAAGGCTAGCCATGTTACTCAGTGCATCATTGGAAGGCACCCAGATACCGCAATAATAGAGATGGAATAAGAACCTGAATGGAAGAGCAGCGAATGAGTTGTAAAATGTACAGGTTTGGGGGATGCCACACAAGGGCGTGGAGGCTACAGGCTGAGGTGCGCCTGTGGGAGCCGCACGCAGGACTTCAGGCAACGGGCTGAGGATTTGAGGGTGAAAGCAAGGGCACTGTGGGAGGGAAGCTAGTTAATGGTCTCAAAGCTGTGGAGAAGTGGAAGAGGCACAATGAAGGGGCTGGAGCAGGAGGACTCACACAAACCTGGTGGCGTGATGGGCTGATTTGGGTGGGAGCCACAGAAAGGCTGTCAGGCCTTGTTGGAGCCACAAAGCCCTTGGGAGAGGGGGCTGGGAAGCTATTGAATGTCAAGAGGCAGGTTGTTCGAGGGGGCGCTGTTCCCCACCTCGCCCCCTCGCAGTCTGGCTGGGGACAGGTTGTTGTGACAGGAACCGTTCTTCCCCGGAACCTTGGCGCTGCAGCGGCTGGGGGAGCGTATTGGGGAGCGGACCCCGAGGGGGTCGCAGAATCAGGCGGCGGAGGCGCGGCCGGGCGGGGGGAGATGGCGGCCGGGGGAGGCGGGGAGCAGGGCTCGGCCGTGCTGGAACTGCCTCGCGGCCCGCGGCTGGTGTGCGTGGAGTACCCGGGCCTGGTGCGCGACGTGGGCAAGATGCTGCAGACTCTGGGAGGAGAAGAGGGGGTGTCCCGGGTAAGGGGGTCCCCGGGGGAGGGCGAGCTCCGGGTAACCAGGCTTCCTGGGTAAAAGATGCCTGGGGGGAGGGGGCTTTCCTAGCGGGTTGCAGGCGGGTTTCCTCGGTGAGGGGTTCCCTGGGTACGGGTCATCTGGGGTAAAGTGGGGATGGATCTAAGGGCTTCCCGGGGGAGGGATTGTCCCAGTAAATCCCAGGGACGGGGTTGGGGTGGGCAGGGGAGCGGGGTGTTCTTGGTAAGAGTTATCTGGGTTACAGTGAGAAGCGCCTAGGATTTCTTAGAAGGTGGGAGGTGTCCTGGTTAAAGGGACCTCAAGGGGAAGGAGGCTGGGGGCTATCCAAGGGATGCTCTAATAAATTTGTTAGTCTCTAAGGTGCCACAAGTACTCCTGTTCTTTTTTAGAGGGATAGAGGGAGATGTTGGAGATGTTAACTTCGGGGCGGGGGGGCTGAAGGTGTCTGTCCTGGATAAAGGGAGCCCTGAGAAGAGGGTCTAGAGTTCTGAGTAAGGGTGGATGATCCAGTTCAGCGAGCTCTCTTGCTGTGGGTGATCCCATAAGGTGTGTGTTGGGATTAGAGTGAGGCGCAGCTAGGGGGTACTTAGATAGACTGTAATTGGAGGGAAATGCCCTAAATAAGAGGGGGAGAATCTATGGTTCTCTGGGGTAAAGAGACTTGCTCTGGGCTGGTGCCCCATGAAAAGGAGGTGATGGTCACTAAGGGAAGATAGGGATAGCATTTTGGTTTGGAGGTGGATGGGGAGGGCATGATGCAGAGGAAAATTCAGTTGGTTTTTTTGGAGGGACAAATTTGATGTTGAAAAGTGCTTGTGCTCTTGGTAATGTAGATATATGCTGACCCTGGAAAAAGGCTCGAGTTGTACTTCCGCCCCAAGGATCCCTACTGCCATCCTGTGTGTGCCAACCGCTTCCCTACCTCTTCCATGCTGTTCAAGGTAAAGAGGAAGATTAGGAGGAAGCAGCTGGAAGCTGAAGGAGAAACCCAACAGGAAGTCAAGTTTGAAATGGAAGTTCTTGGGGTTGTCTCCACGGTTTACAAATTTCAAGGTAGTAATTTGATCTGCCTATGTGTGTGGAGTAGTGACTAGCAGTTCTGGTGGGAAAAGGGCAGTGCTCCCTCTTGCTTGAGTCCAACAAACTGTGTGTTCAGAAAACCGTGCATGTCAGCCGTACAACATTGGTATCTAGGGAACTCAATGTGTGACCTGGATTTGATACCATCCCCCTTCTGTATTGTGACTTAATAACACATTGTTCTCTCTGGTGTTGTATTAGGTTATACTATAATCCAACATGTTTTATAATGGATGCACCTATGCAGGATAAAGGGGAAAAGTTGTATTTTCATGGACAGTAATGTATTATTGTTTTTAACCTTTAGTTAACTGCTTGGCAGGTGTTTAAGATAAGGAAATATAAAGTATTATGCTTGAAAAATGAAAGTAGGACAAGGTTTCCAGAGTGCTTTTATGAATGCACTATCACCAGGGTGCAGCTTCCCGAATGTGAATTAATACCTGGCCGAGGAATCAGCAACCTTTGGCACGCAGCCCGTGAGGGAAAGCCGCTGGTGGGCCGGGACAGTTTGTTTACCTGCAGCGTACGTAGGTTCGTCTGATTGCAGC